CCGGCAACGACAGTTTTTAGAAGAGCCAATTAGCTATCTTTTAGTAAAAAAAGCAACTTTCTAGAGCAAGTCGTTACTTCAGTAGGGACGACATAGATAAACATTAGCATTTTATATATGTAGATATTATTATTTATTATATTCTTAACGTGCAAGTCCTGCCTTATCTGTACACAACACAACCAATATCTTCCCATTTTCTTAAGCACTCTCGAAACGTACGCATTTACTAATAAAATCTATCTTGGTAAAATCGCCTTAAGATTATTGCTCCCTTTTTATGTCAGTATATGATATGGGTAAAAGTTTGCTTTTGTGGGCTTATATTGTTTTAGAGACTTGACTCTTCACTGAGATATATCTACTTGGAATTTTCGTTAAGCAATTGTTTTCTTTAAATTATAAATAAAAATGAATTGTATCAACTTAAAAACGCTTTGAAACTAGTAAACACAACAATCTCAAAACATTCAGTCGAGGGGTGTCTCACTATTGGAATTACATGTATATTTTCTTGGCAGTCGCTGACAGTCATTGGCAGTCTTATGGCAGTCGCTTATAATAATTATATGGCAGTCATAGGCAGTCTTCTTCATAGTCACTGGCAGTCGCTTAGCAGTGGAAGGATATTTTGGCAGTACGTGTACATTTTTTACCCGAATGAGACACCCCTCGCATTCAGTGGTTTCAGCTGTTTTATTTGCTCTACGGCAGAGGCGCTGTCGGCAGTAGGGCCGTGCCGAATTTATTAAATTAAAAAATTCCTATCGATAACCCTTTGGGATTTCAAGCATGTAAATGATATAACGTGGCTTGATACAGTTTGTTTATACTTATATTTTTCATATTGTTACATGTTGTTGAAATGTAGTTTTTATAATATTGTACCCAATAATCATAACTATCGATCTCTAATAAGAATGTCCCTCTCTAATAAGATATTACATAATACGTCAAAACTGACAATCATAGTCATAATGGCGTAGGTAATGGTAACTAGTATCTTTGCACTTTACCATAAAGGGTATTCTGTTCCCATCTTTTTTGAAATTTTCACCCTCTTTCTGTACTTTTTTACTTTTTAGTGGCATTTTCTCGTATGAATAATTAAAAATATAGATCATGTAGGAAGTGGCAATATTGCATCCCTTTTAGTACCGTACCGTGGTAATATCAGAAATTATACCGTGGGAAATATTGCGGTGAACAGGCAGCTCTAAAAAAATTTCGAAAAATATACGGGGAAATTTAAAAGAAAATGCACGATTTTCAACATCTTTTTTGCGAAAAAAAACTCATAGACGTGTTTCTGGGTATGATTTTCAACATCTTTTTTGCGAAAAAAAACTCATAGACCTGTCCTTAATAAATTTTATCGATAAAATATTTTGCAGATGAACTGCTCAAGGTTATCCCAACATCAGTTTCCCATCTCTTTATTCAAACAATAGCAGGCACAATGGGTGGCTTCACAACCACCATTATAACAAATCCGTTAGATATAGTTCGAGCCCGGTTACAAGTTCAGCGTTTAGAATCGATGGGCGAAGCATTTAGAGACCTGTGGAGGGAAGAAGGGCCGAGGATGTTCACGAAGGGGCTAAGCGCCAGACTCGTACAATCTGCCACGTTTAGTTTTAGCATTATCTTAGGTTATGAAACTATCAAACGGGTGTCTGTTAATGAGGAATATAAAGAGTTTGTACGATGCCTGAAAATATTTGCACTTATTTAAGACTCACCCTGTATAATTACGAATAGAGACTGACATTACATTATTATAATTTATGAAAATTTTTGAAAACAAATCATTTAGGAGACATATAACAATAACACGCCGCAAAGGAGAAGCGCATCCAACGCAAAGACCGCGAGAAGACGACAAATATTTGTTTTGACGTAGTAAGCATTCTTTATTACAATCGTCGTGTCGTAAAAAACGCCTCTTATTGTCAGTAAACAAGCCTGTAAACCTATTAGTACAGAAGCAGGCGTGGGAGGGAACTTCTTGCAAGTGTTTGCTCTTTAAAAATCCACAATAAGTGATAAGTGAAATGTATATAAATAATAATAGGTGATGTCTATACCTTTGTGGCAATTTCAGACTTAACTGTAAAAAAACGAACAATGTTATTTCAATTAAATAATGAGTAGAGAGAATGGGAGCAGGGAAGTTAATCTATACAATTAGGTACTTTAAATATTAGCTTTGTTTGCGGGTCCGATTCCGAACCGATTCCTCACCAGTTCAGAACATAATTTGGATTTGTAAAGCGCATGCCTAGTTATGAACCAGTATTACCACGAACTAATATACTACTACTACTGCCATTACTCGCTGACGAGTATTTGACACGCATCAAAAGATGGTTACGCAAGGCGTTTCCCGTTTCATAAACTTTTCTGTCGCTGAAAAGCCCGATACGTGATGTTATCTCTCTTCCGCACTCCGGACATTCAAAAATCTCATTACTTTGTTGCCTCTTTACTTTTTGGTTGTCGTTATTAACTGAATTTACAATTCTCCTCCATTGCGTTCTATTGTGCGCTGCTTCCTCCCACTAATGCTGCATACTTATCCCCTTTAAGTTTTCATGAACAACATCCTTGTATCTTTTGAGTTGTCCACCCGGTTTCCTCTTACCCTCTACAAGTTCACCGTAAAGAAGAGATTTCGGTAGGCGGTTTTCTTGCATCCTGCATACGTGACCAGCCCATCTTAAGCGAGATTTAATAATCATGACTTCAGCGCTCTCGCCTCTTGCTTTTTTAAGGACTGATACGTTTTTTAAGGACTGATACGCTGCCAGATGATCAAAGAAGTTGCAAAACAAATCGCAAAACTCCATACAATCGGAAGGGTTTTGCCGAAGTATTTTACTTTTTTGAAAATTGTGTTATCACACACAAAAAAACTTACCCATATAAAAAAGGTGGTGAACTTATATTCTACGCATTAAGATAACATTGTTCTATTAATAATTTTATATTATTTTGTATTACATCGTGTTACAACACTTCTAAGCATTCTTAAGAAGATTCTAGACTTTTTCCACAGATTATATTTTTCATTATGATTCGGATAATATAAGTTTTTCATCAGAAACCAGTTCTTTTACATCATTTTAGTAATTTCATATAAAAGGCGTTGCAAGTTGTTGTAACACATAGGTACAAATAAACGTTTTGCTTCTTGACAGTTGATATTGAAACATCTCTGTAAAACCTTTGTCATTATTCTGTTGCTAAAAATAAAAGTTATTTTCACTCGGAAACTTCTGTATTTTTTTTTATTTGAATAAACTTTAAAATTTAACTCTGATCGCAGATCGAGGTAACAAATATGACATTTTTTTCGTTCATATTTACACTTAACTAAAATACACATACTCTTCACTTTATTTCACTGCTTGACTGCATGTTATTTGCTAAAATAACGCTCTCCATTTCTAACAAATTATGCTTATGAAGCTCGAAACACATCGAAAATCGCACACTAGTTGTTTCTAAAATTATTTAATAATAGACACTGATATTATGATTAAAATTAACACTCGTAATTTTTTGTGTGCAAATTTAAAGTTACAGTGAATACATAATATGTTGTATATGGATAATGTAATAGGTGGCCACATTGCAAGGTTTAGATAGACCGTAGAGAAAACTCAGGTGAATGAACAAGTGACACTAAATAGTTAGTTAAAATTTTCCGGAAAATGTTATAACATTTTCAATTTTTTTTTTCGCAAAAAATACCTCAGATGCGTTTTTCTGGGGCTGAAATATACTACCAGAGAAGATACTTTCACTTATTTCTGAGACACCCTGTATTATAGACCCCATCTAGATTAGCCTTAGCAACAAAAAGGAGTCGTTAACTTAAAATACTTTTTTTTGAATTGAAAAACGATCATCAACCATAGTCATATACCGGGTGCGTCTCAAAAGTGGTTCACCTCTATAACTTTTTTATTTTTTCAGAAAAAAAATCTAGATTTGGTATGTTAGTAAATGACATAAATTAGGATTGATTGTCGTATTCAGTTGTTTTCTATCACTTACTGTTTCACCGGAAATGACTACACCTTTTTATTTTTAAATGGCACCCTCGATATTTTGTTACTTTATTCGATAAAAAATGACACTCTGAATAGAATGACATATCGTATGTCAACTTTTGATGTTTTTAAATATGGTTTATTTGAAATTGCAACGTGCATTCATAACGACAATTTGACTCGAAAAATTGACTGAAATACCAAGTGTGTGGTACCAAATTATTAATTAAAATATGCTAATGAGCCACCCTCGTGCCATTTGAAAAAATTGAGATATGATTAAAAATACGATTTGGGAAAACCGTTTTTAACCGGTCAGAACAAGACATTAGAAACATCAGGCGATCAAATTTATTTTTCCAAGGCTCCTTGATTAAAAATTAGTGTTTTTAACATAGCCATGGCACTCTAGCTTGAAATTTAAAATGCAATTTTGTCATGTCATTCTATTCAGAGTGTCATTTTTTATCGAACAAAGTAAAAGAATATATGGTACCATTTAAAAATAAAAAGTTGTAGTCATCTCCTGTGACACAAGAAGTGGCCGAAAAGAATTGAATACGTCAATCGATCCTAACTTATGTCATATACTAACATACAAAATCTCGTTTTTTATCTGAAAAAATAAGTTATAGGAGTGAGCCACTTTTAAGACGCACCCGGTATATTGGAGATGTAGAAAACTTGGTTGTACATTTTTTTGTGTTAGCGGTATCTCTGAAGTAGAAATGATTTATATCGAGCACCTGCACAACGTAACATTTATTATACTTTATCATATCCGAAACCTCGATAGGTGAGCCTCGAATTTGGGCCATCCTATACATATGTAACGCGGCGACTAAAACTGGCTGTGTTTGAATGCGTAATGATCTGTGTAACGGCATCGGAAAGTAAAAGTGTCGTACTCGGTCGTTTTCAATAGCGATTGTGGTCGCCGAAGCGACAAGTGGTACGATTAAAGGCCTCCGTTCAGTTGCGTACGAACCTGTATGCCGATCTGTCACTTGGCGAGTATAGAACCGCCCTTAGCGATCGATATGACCTACCAGAAACGAGTTTGCGTAGCGCCGGCTCTTACGCGGCCTAACGTGTAAACAGGCCTTAAGTGATTTTGAATCTAAATAAAAGTATGAAGTTTTAGCAAATGTTTGAAAAGTACTGTTTCGGTGTGATTATAGTGATTTATTTTCGAGTGATTTTTTTGTGAATTGAGAAGAAAACATGTTACAATTGATGTTTCCAAATAAAAATGGACCAAACGCTGTTTTGTCTCGTCTGAAGGATACGTCGCCAAGATACAGGGTACGTTTATATACAGAGGGTAGAGAAAGTAAGATCTCTAAAACCTTATTTACTAAACATTGACATAAAACTGACTGACATGACATAAAACTTTGTCAAAAATTAACACTAATTATAGGAGGATCTAAAAAAGATAGAACGTTTCCAGGCGCACAAATCTATTTCTAAACAATAGTTTTTCTCGAATTTTAAACTAGACTATTTAAGAATCATTTTTACTCAATATAAAAATAAATAACAACCTTCTTACGGCCAGCTGGCAGTAGTAAGGGCCATTAAAAAATAAAGGAGAGTGCGGGCCAAGGAAATGACGGCTAGGGCTCGACCTCGCCGAAATTATCATCGATTGTCATTCCCCAGCCGTCTTTGACGTCGTTTCTTTTTCGATTGTATCGTATTTTGTGTTTGCAAAAAACATTACGTTATTATTATATTTACGTATACCATTTTATAAAAAAAAGACTTACAGTAGTGTTTCAAAGGATGATGTATGTTGTTCTTTTAAAACTGATATTGAAATTTGGCAAAAATTAATATTTAATTTAGATAAAAGTAGTGATGAGAACAACTGCTGAGTTTTCCTTCTGAATTTGGTCTTGCAGTCTAGAAGTTTCCTTGATCTTTGTTTTGCTGCAAGACTCTTGCAAGTCTTAACTTTCTACATTGAAAATCTTTAAATCGTTTTCGAGTAACTTAATGCAAATGAATAAGGAGCGTTTTGAGGAAGTAAACGGACGAAGGAGCCTTTTGACGAAGGAACGAAGGAACACACAGTCGCATAAAATCGACAATTTCCTATAGTAAATATAGGATTTTTGGACGAAGGGACGCGACGAAGGAACGAAGTGAAGAAGCGAAGTGTGAGTATGGAGCTTTAAAAGAACTAACTGTTGGTGCTTAAAAGTACAATTTTTAATTGAATATGAAATACTATGAAAATCGGCAAAAAATGAGATCGGCAAAGATTCAACAACACAATATTATACAAAATAATGACTGACATTATGATAATTGTCAAATAATAAACGACAACGTTGCTGATCGCGGCGCAATGTGACCAACATGGCGATGATAAAAATTGCTTTAAACTAATTTTTGCAGCTTTAATCTAAATAAAATATATGATACAATAATTTGGCTCTATGAACTAATATGAAGAGCTTCTCGATATGTTAAATTATACAACAAATTTAAACATTTTTGCCAAAATTTTATTTAGTCAGATTTATAGGCTTTAGTAGGTTTGTTGCTGTAAGAAACATATTTCCAACAGATAATAATGCGCAATAGGGTGAAACGCGTTCGCACAGAAATGTTTGATTGGTTTCCAACCAACAGTACGCTGTTCGCACAGAAAATTCTGATTGTTAAGCTGACAGTCAGACCTGTTCGTGGATCTTTTGCAAGTAAAGTGTCCGGCGCATGCGTATTGCGACCCGACGTCATTAATTGGTAAACTTAACATACAAAACGTGTGTTGTTTTTGTTTAGTGTTTTTTTCTTCAAAAAATAAAGAAGAGAAATGAACGATTTTGAATCTTCCGAAGAATTTGAGGCGTCTGAATTTTCGGATACAGACACAGACCTAGAAGAGCCGATGGAGGAACGGGTCAGGCCCAAGAATCAAAATTACAAAACATTAAAACATTAAAAAGTACAAAACCAAAAACATTAAAAGATGTCTTTGGTTAATTCCCTGTTCGTTTTCTTCTTTATTCGGTATTACGTAGGAGTTAAAATTAGTGGTATTATTAGATCAAAAAAGAAGAGTAGGGGATTCGCTGTTCGTACAGACAGTTTGAAATCGACAAGAAACTGCATTATTTGAGACCTGCGCATTAACACCGGTTTGGAAGAAGTCACAAACATGTTGGGAACACGCTGTGAGAACAAACCTAGTGTCAATTTCGATATGATTGATGACGTGCATCGAAAAATGTTTTGCGATTACCGTATAAACGTATGCCGTAAAATGAGTCCCGAACAAGTTACAGCACTCGAAAACATTGGTAAACCATTTTTAGAGATAGGGCAATCTTTTCAAATAGAGTAAAAATAATAAAAAAGTAATCGGAAAAATTCAACTGATTATTAATTGAAAAATAATATTTTTCCTTAATTAACAGCATTAAAAAAAACTTTACTGATAGAGTTTAATTTGCATTAATGAATAACAAACATCTGGTTCTGGTCTATATATTCGGTTTTAATTAGAATTCAGCACGTGAACTTATGAATATAATACTTAATACGCAAGAGAATCTAAGAACTAGACACGATTAGATTCATCAGAAATGGCACACTTTGGTTTATTATCAATAGTCAACAAGCCCGGACGACAATATGTCTGTTGAAGCAGATTTATTGGATCTATTAATTCTGAAAGACAATATCTATATCTAATTTTTAATGCGATATGTAGGTCATGCAGCGTCTGAAAGCTTGTATTGTCCGGACAACGATGTTTATGGTGTTGCAAACAATTTTTAGAAAAAAATCTATTTAGCTTTCAATTTGTCATGTTTTATTGTTTCAGTAACAAACACAGACTAAAAAATACTATTATTTTTTATTTTTAACACTTTAGTAATAGTAAGACTTTAGTAACATTAGATATGTATAAAACATAAACTAAACTAAACTTGAAAAAAATTCTTAATCAGTACTAACATTGATTTTGAACACAAACAAAATATCGACAAATCGTTTATAGATCATACCAGATAAACTTTTAGTCACGTGATTAACCCAAGTAACATTTTTCGGAGCCTAAAGTTTTATTAAAAGGTAACGGGTATTTATATGAGGTTTATAAAGAACCTTTACATTTATAAGAGTGTTTAAAGTTTTATAAGAACACTATTGGTGTTAAAAGTTTTGTAACACCTCGAAAAAATACCAAAATACTTGAAGTTTTATAATATTGCATCCAAAATGTTTTCGTTGCCTTATTTATAAAACCTTTGGTGTTGGTTACTTAAGGTTTTTTTTAAAGTGTTTTATAGCATTCTTAAAAACCTTATTTTAAAACTTTTACTCTTGGGGTTTTATAGCTTACTTCGTAAAACCCTTATAAATCTAAAGCACCTAATAAATATTCTACAGCTACTACAAAACCTAAAGAATTTTATAAAACTTATAGGCCCAGTAGCAACTCCTTTCATATGTAGAATAGGGGGCGCTATATTTTTAAGGTTAGGTTATGTTTTATGTTCCTGTTTTGCTTTTGTAAATCACAGATGGAAGAAGAATTAAATACAGTAGCAGTTTTTATAGAAAGTGCGTTAAAACCCGTGAAAATATTTTGGGAAGCACACCACCCACAACTACTAAAAATTACCAAAACTTAGACGTTCCTCAAGAAGATATATTGCCAAATACTTCGACTAATCGACTGCCACCGATGAATGAAGGGGCAAATGACCTTTGGAAGAATGTATAGATATCAGGGAAAATTGGTCAAAGACGGCGTTGATTTTCCATCTTCTGTGTTTTGGACAATTTTGAAGTGCATCGAAAAAAAATGTTTTACAAAAGCCAAAACGCCCGAAACAAAAAGTGGGGTTATGGTCAATGGTCAAGTTTCTATAAATACCTTTTTGTAACTTATAAAACTATTAAGTATCATAAAAGCACCTAAAGTTTTATTGCAAGCGCAAAATTCCCATAAGATACCTAGGAAAGTGTTATAAGAGTTTTTAAGGTGTTGATGATTACTTAAAGATCCATATAAAACTAGAGGTTGTGAAAATATATATTTTAATATAAAATATATATTTGTGTTTAAAACGCGAAATGGGGAACATGACGTCCTTTTATCAGGCGGCCATTTTATGTTTGTGTTGTTGTACTTACATAAAAAAGAAGAATATTACATTTTAAGCAATATTACTGAAGCTTTAAGACGTATTTTTTCAAAAGCATGGGGTTAAGAAATGTTGCGCAGTTTATTTGTAAAAAAAAAAACAAACCATGAGACGTAATTTTAATTTTTTGGTGTTTACAAAATAAATTATATTTGAGTTCTAAACGGGGGCGCTTTAGTTTTAAGAAGGGTAAAATTTTAATATTACTCGATAAATTTTCCGTGCCAATAAAATTTAGTCCTCATGGAATTCTTACAGAGTGTTTAAGTTGTTATAATAATTATTATAACACGCCATTTTCATCAAAGTGAAAATCCATTGCTGTCAACTTTAAAGTACAAGCCGAATAATAATGACAAAGACCTGAAATAGAATATATTGCAAACAAACGTTGTAGAAAGAGATGAACTTAAAAGGGGCGTTTTATAATGGCTATTATAAGGAATATTATAGGTTTTAAGGCGGTAACGAAAATGTATTCCTTGTCGCTATAAAACTTATTTATGGTTTATAAAGGTAACGACAACCTCTTAGTTACCAATAAATGGAGAGTAAAGGTCACGTTAAAGGTTTTATAAGATACTAAAATTTGGTCACCGTTACCTTTATAAGATTCTCCATTTAAGTGCTATAGGGGTGTCATAAGGGTAACGAAAACGTTTCGCGAACAATTGATAGGCTTTTAAGTTTTATTAAGTAGGTTATCGAAACGTAACCATTACCATTATAAAACAAAAAGTGTTAGTTGGGAAGCTTGACCGGCACAGCGTTGCCCACTTTTACATATTTTCTCTTATTCAAAATATTTTAGGAAACAAAAATAAATTAGTTATAATTATATAAACAGTTATTATTTAGATAAAAAAAAATCACGTCCTTAGCAGCACTTAAGTTGCGGTGAGTTTTTTACAGCTATTAAGCTATCTTGTACACTTCGCACTAAAAGAGGTTCTAAGAAGAACAACATTCGATTGCAGGGTCCGCTAGTAAAAAAAATTAACCTTAAAGTATCACTACACAATTCATTTAAACCAAAAACTCATAATACAAAACTGAAGTGTTAAAACGCAGTGGCGGATACAGAGGCCCCCCCTAAAATCTATAAATTGCGTTAAATATTAGGCTTTTTGGTTA